TGAGCAGCAGGAGCAGCAAAAGAACAGGAACACGACCAAATAAACAAGAAAAGCAGGGAAAATACCAACATGTTCCATTACCTGCTTTTATTCCAGAGTCATGGTCGCCCAAGAGCTGCAGCTTCTCCCTGGTTTCATAGACAGTGGTTTGGGCTGGAAGAGGCCTTAAAATCCATCCCTTTCCACCTCCTCTGCCATGGGAACTATCCCAGGTGGCTCCAAGCCCCGTCCAAACTGGCCTGGAACACTTCCAGGGATCCAGGGGCAGCCACAGCTTCTCTGGGCACCCTGTGCCAGGCCCCTTCCCTCAGAGAGAAGGATTTATTCCCAAATATCTACCACCTGTAGTAACCACCAGTTCTGGGGGCACAGCTTGAACACAGACTAACTGCCTTTGTAGCTTATTTTTTCTTTACAAGGTCTCCACAGAAAAAAAAAAAAAAAACCAAAAAGTAGGAACCCCCCGCCACCAGCCACAAAACAGCACTGAGATTTTTTACAACACCATTTTCACAAACACGACGTGTTCTGATAGTTAAAAAGAAGCAGCTCCGTGCTGCATCTTCTGTTTTCAGGCCCAGTGACACAGGGAACATCTCAGCCCAATCCTGCATGGGGTCTCCTGTGAAAATGAAGCTCCTTTGGGAGCTTCCTGTAGGCTCCAGGTCAGAAGATTTTGTCTTTGACTTGCTCTGTAATGGCTCTTTCAACCTCTGGGGCTGCCACATTTTCATCTTGTATATATCTTTAATAAAGCAGGAGACAGGGAAGATGGAAACGACATATCTCAGTGGAATACGATTCAAATAAAGTTGTTAATAATAAATAATATATTTGGTATTTATATTGCTGCTACAACCCAAGCCTGTGATTGTGGGCAATGCTGGGATAAACAGATGAAAGGAGCAGAGGACAGCAGTGAGGCTATGAGGATTTTAAATTTGCTACAAGGCACAATCAGGTATCTAAATAATAAATATCACTTAGGTTTCTTCAAGCCTGAACCAGACAAGACATTGACCCTGAGAAGTCAAATTCTGAGATGGAAAATGAACTCAGCCTTGATTACAGATGGAGCGGAGCTCCCTCAGCAGAGCTGCTGCCATCCCTTGTGGACAAGGAGCTTTTTGTTTTTCAGGCAATGGCAAATTTACTTACCATTTCTTTACCATGAAAAATATACATTTATTCTGCCTTTCATTTTTAAATGACAAATCTACAGACTTCATTCCTGCACGCTGGTTTTTAAGGTGTAATAAAGTTTTCTTGGTCAACTTCTCAGCTGAAAAATAACCATGTGTCAGTAGTGTCAGCTTTGAAAATTTGGGGGTAGAGCTGCAGAGGAGCAGGTAAGTGAAATTCAGTGCATCTGTTGGGTTCTTGTTGCCAAGGTTTTATCATTACAGCAGCATCTGCCATCACCATTCCAAATTATTTTTGAAGTGAAATTGCTACATTCATTTTATTTCATGACTTAGCAATTCAATGGAGGACAAATTATAGTTTCTAAGGTCATATCAAGGTTTAGATGCACATCCAGGAGGATCCTAGGACGATAATCTCATGATTGCAGAGACACAACTTGTTCCAACTGTTCTAGTTAACAAAAATTACAGATTTTCTACAAAATCCTTTTCTTCAATTGCTACCAAAAAAAATACACAAAACAGTAATTCTCACATTTCGTGACATTAACTTTGATTGATGCAGTATTTTGTACTTTGGCTGACCTTTCCTTCCTTTCTCACAGGTGAACTGGGGGGGGAAAAGGGGAGAGGTGGAGCAATTGGCCAATCCTATCAAGGCACAGATCAAGGGCATGGTGAACACCGAGATTCTTCACAGTCATTAAAATTCCTATATCCTGTTCTTATAAGGATTTAAAAAAAAAAAAGACCAGACAAAGGCACAACAGGAATCTATTCTCTTGACAGCAATTTAATAACAAAAGAAAATGTTCTGAGCCACTCTCATTACTGCTTGGAAACTTTAATCTTGAGGACTTAGTTCCTGTCCATGGAAACCTTCAGATCCCTTTTACAAGCCACAGAAAGGGAAGGGAATATTTGTAGTTTAATTATACATTTAAACACTTTGGAGAGCCTGATCCACTTTGGAAGAGTGCTGTAGTGTCCAGCTGAAGGGTTCTCCAAGGAGTACAAGGCCATGCCTGAACATCAGGAGAGTCACAAATTCATCACAGCCCTCTGCTCTGGAGCCAGGCTGGGAGAGCTGGGGGTGCTCACCTGGAGAGGAGAAGGATCCAGGGAGAGCTCAGAGCCCCTTCCAGGGCCTAAAGGGGCTCCAGGAGAGCTGGAGAGGGACTGGGGACAAGGGATGGAGGGACAGGACACAGGGAATGGCTTCCCACTGCCAGGGGGCAGGGATGGATGGGATATTGGGAAAGAATTCTTGGCTGTGAGGATGGGGAGGCCCTGGAATAGAATTCCCAGAGAAGCTCTGGCTGCTCCTGGATCCCTGGAATTGTCCAAGCCCAGGCTGGATGGGCTTGGAGCCACCAGCCTGATTTAGGTGAGGAACCCAAGTCCAAGAGCTCTGGTTATCTCTGTAATCAAGGGACAATAACTGCAATTTCATCATCAATTTATATCTTCTGCAGGACACAGGGAATGGCTTCCCACTGCCACAGGGCAGGGATGGATGGGATATTGGGAAAGAATTCAGGGCTGTGGACCTTGAATAGAATTCCCAGAGAAGCTGTGGCTGCCCCTGGATCCCTGGAAATTTCCAAGGCCTGTTGGATGGAGCTTGGACCAACCTGTGATAGTGGAAGGTGTCCCTGCCCAGGGCAAGGGGTGGAAATGGACGAGCTTTAAGGTCCCTTCCCACCCAAAATCATTTCAAGATTCCAAAATTCCATGAGCAAAGTTGATAGTTTGTCACAGGACTTTCTCCTGCATTTTTAAGGAAGGGCAAATCCAAGAAGCCAAGAACTTTCCTATATTACGTTTTTTTTTCTCTATTGCTATCAACAACTCCTGAAAAATTCCCATCAGATTTCCCATTGTTGCCTTTAATATCAACAGTTTATCCACAAATATGTAAAATTAACCCCACATTACCCAGCCAAACCCTCCCCACACCTTTCCACCCTTAAATAACAACATCCCAACCACCACCCTGCTCTGGGCTTATGCAATTAACTTGGGAAATCACCAGCTGACCACAGGAACAGGAGGTAACAGAGCAAGAAATTAATTTTCCCTTTCTCCACTCTCCTCCATCAGCTGTTTAGAAGCCTTCCAGGTGAACTTTGGAAGCCAAGACATTTTAAGGAGAACTGGAAATCCAATATGGAAGAATCGGTCAAAATAATAATTCTTATGGAAGAGGCTGTAGTATTTCTCAGAAAAACATGGATTTTCTGCTTAGGAGATGTGAAACAACTTCACAGCCAAATATTTTACATAACTCAGAGCAGAAACAAAGTCTATGTGGCACATTTTTATATTGAATTGTTAACTATTAGAAATTGTGATGTGTGCATGAGAGAAAATGCCTCAGAAAGATGAGAATTGACAAGATTATAAATTGGTTTAATTCACTGAATCTCAGCCTTCTAACTAATATCATATAATAACCAGACATGCTTTATTTTTCTCTACATTCCAGTCACTGAAGATAAACAAAGAAAACAACTGAAAGCAAACCCAAATGACCTGCTCACATGTGAACAGCCTGAACCACAAGCCTATAAACGACCCTGTTTTTAAGGAAATCATCGTTAGCTGCGTATTTTATATGGTAATTGTACATCCCCAGTTTATGAATAACAACAGCAGAGTTCTTCCCTTCTGATTTCAGTGCCACTTGAGCTATGCAGATTTCTAAAAGCTTATGAATATACAGAGCAACAGAATTGTTCTGAACATCTGTAAGCAAAATATGAAAAGATGTTTGGTGCTGAATGAACATCCTGGGTTGTCTAATGCTGGCCAAAAATGGTGTATTTATGTATTAGGAGAACACACTGAAAATAGCTCCAAATCCTGCACACCCTCCAGAAGGCTTTTTCAGATTGTCCTCTGTATGGCTGTCACCAGAAAATGGAAAAAGAATTTTCCATTCCATTCTAATCAAATTTAATTTCCCTTCCCTTCCTCCATAAAATGGAAAAATAATTTTCCATTTGATTCCATTCAAATTTAATTCCCTTTCCCTCTCCTTTCATTTTCCCTTTCCTTTCATTTTCTCTTTCCCTTGCCTTTTCCCTTTCCCTTTCCTTTCATTTTCCCTTCCCTTCCCTTCCCTTCCCTTCCCTTCCCTTCCCTTCCCTTCCCTTCATTTCCATTTTTGATTTCTATTTCCATTCCATTCCATTCCATTCCATTCCACTCCATTCCATTCCACCTCAAATCATCCCTTTTCCCACTTTTCACCATTTCCAGCAAGTTTCTGCCTTTTTGGCTGCCTTGCAGCACCTCTGCACAGGACTTCAAGTGCCCATTATTTGCTCGTGTCACTTTTCACACCCTTTGCATGAAGCCCATGTGAGAGTTTGTCACTAAGAACAAGCCCCAATGTCAGCATTTGGCATAAAAATGTTAACAAGAAAATAAACCAAAGGAAAACTTCCAAGTGTGTCCAGGACAGCCAGGATTTTCTCCACCAGCAGCATTAGTTGGCTGCCAGGGGTTCTTTCTGTGGTTCAGATCACAGAAAGAACCTGCATTGGAGTTTTGTAGTGTAAGTAAAAAATAAATGGAAGGGTTTGGCCTGGAAATGGCAGGATACTGTGCACTGAACTGTGTGAAGAATTAACAGATTATTAATCAGAACAGAGTATTTTTTCATACACTGACTCATTAATTATTAGGAGACAGCAATGGGATGGGCATCCATAGATTTCAGTACAGTTTAGGATGTAAATCCAACCCCAAATCTCCTCAATCACTGCAGTCACTCATTTCACTCTTCATTGTCATTCATAATTCAGAAGTCCACTCCTGACCCTTAAAAACCAAAGAAGAAAGACTCACCTGAGCACACCTCCTTGTAGGTAGGGTTTGGGGTATGTCCTCCTGCATAACCCACTTGAGTGGAATACACTCCTTTCTGCCTCCAGAACTTCCTCTCGGCTCCCCAGAAACACCCCATACCTGAAGAGGGCACAAAATACACATTGAGAGGTCAAAATCTGCCAATGCTCAATCACTCATTTGCATATTAATTGATACAGGGTGTAGTGGAAGGAACATCTATAGGCAGGACCTGCTGGTCAAGTGTTGTCCAAGTTTATTTATAGGGTAACTATAAAGAGAAATCCATTCTGCATCAGAGCACGACTCAAGCACAGCCTGATTTATGCTTCTGAATATCAATTTATCACAGAGGACAAACCTTGAAAGGGTTTGAGGGCCCAAACAAGGCGAAATCTCATGCACACACCAAAAAATAGTTTCTTGTAAGGCAATTGTGCTGTTTGTGCAGCACCATTTTTACCTGAACTGATTAGGAAGCTGTCAAAACACAATAATTTGTATTAATGGCAAAGAGTTATTTAATTTTCTGCTTTCAGGCAGAGGTGGAAGCAATAATGGATTATATTATATGTTATAAAAAGGGAAAAATGCTTCAGCTTAACAATTTATGCAGAGATATTTGATGTTCAGACAAGATTTTTGTAGTCATTCGCCTCCATGGCCAATTATCAAAGGACATCAGACTGTTTAAGGGTCTGAATTAAAACCTCTTCTGGTAAAAAGGAATTAAGGAACAAGCACCACCAACACTGACAGTTGTCTGATGGCTTATTTAAATAAATGTTTAAGGGACTATTTATTAAAGTTTTTATTTAGAGTGTCACGGAGATTCCAGTATTGTCAAGTTGGAGCAATGAATTTTCCTTTTCAATGGTAACATCCTGTTATTATTCCCTTTCTAAAACAGTTGAAATAAAGGCAGTAAAAATAAACTAAACATTAAATATGCTATTTCTATATCCACAGAAATCAGTGATCCATGAGAGTTTTCTCCAGGTAACCCTGCAGACATGACAGGGTAAAAAGTTACAGAAATGATCCTTCAAAGCAAAACCAGAAGAGCAGAGCAGCCCCTCCTCCAGGCTTGGTGGCTCGCAATGTTCCTTCTTTGAACCTTCAGAAATTACCTTCAAATATAAGTTTTAATGCACCAAAAAGTACAGAACTATAAGATTTCTACTTCTAATTCAGGTGCTTAAGCAAGTTGCAGCAATTTAGAGTCAAGGCTGCTCCTGGAGATCCTGGAAAGAGGCAGGAACCTCCTGAGGACAATTCCTGCAGAAGATATAAACTGATGATGAAATTGCAGTTATTGTCCCTTGATTACAGAGATAACCAGAGCCCTTGGACTTGGGTTCCTCACCTAAATCAGGCTGGTGGCTCCAAGCCCCGTCCAGCCTGGCTTTGGACACTCCCAGGGACCCAGGAGCAGCCACAGCTTCTCTGGGAATTCTATTCCAGGGTGTCCCCATCCTCACAGCCCTGAATTCCTTCCCAATATCCCATCCATCCCTGCCCCCTGGCAGTGGGAAGCCATTCCCTGTGTCCTGTCTGTCCATCCCTTGTCCCCAGTCCCTCTCCAGCTCTCCTGGAGCCCCTTTAGGCCCTGGAAGGGGCTCTGAGCTCTCCCTGGATCCTTCTCTTCTCCAGGTGAGCACCCCCAGCTCTCCCAGCCTGGCTCCAGAGCAGAGAGGCCATTGGAACTCCCATGGAATTGGGAACACCAAGGCTGTATGAAACTCCTTCCAAGGGTGATTTTACTTGTTTTGGGTGTTTTTCCTTAAATCCCAAGTCTGGATCTGCATGAGACACATGGAAAATAAACTCCTGCCCATCTCTAATACTTCAGTGCTTTGCATCCTTAATATTCCAAGGGAAGCTTGAGGTCCAGCTGCCTAAAATCCCAGCTGTGCCTGCAGCAGGTGAGGCTGAGGTTCTCACAGGAACAGCTCTGGAGGCAATTTAGCAAACTACCACTGGCTGGACAAACACATTGAAGGGAGGCCAAGGAGCAACATCATCCATGCCAAGGAATGGGACAGATCCACATTTTCTTCCACTTCATATTCCTAGGCCAGCACCTGAGTGTGAATGAGCAACCCAAGATTAAGAAAACAACCCAAACTCAGGTTTGAGCTCAGATACAGGCCCAGCTTGAAATACAAAGCAGAAATGCTCATGCTTGGTGTTTTATTTCAGGGATTTTAATGCTCAATAAATCCCTAAGGTTGCTGTTGAAATCCCTGATCATCAGAGCTGTGGCCAGTGACCTGATCAATAACTATTATTTGGGATTCTCTCATTGATAATCATCTCTGACCCCTCTTTCCAGGGTAGGGGTGGAGTCCTCATGCCTGGTGGGATTTAAAAGCTGTGTGGATGTGGCACTTGGGGACATGGGTGAGTGGTGGCCTGGACAGTGCTGGGGGATGGTTGGACTTGATCTTGGAGGGCTTTTACAACCTGAACCATTTTGTGACTCTGTGGATTTCACCATGATCTGTGCCCCCATCATGGATTCCTCCATTTTTCCCTCTTCCAGCTGATCCCTGAGTTCATTGTGCCGCCCTTTCCCGGACAGAGAGGGATTTTATTCTGATTTTATTCTCCTGAAGAACTGCTCTCATCATTTTCTCAAGTGTGCTGCCACCTCACACAAACAATAAATCCTCCCATCCCTGAGAACAGATAAAATTGAAATCTTTGTCATAATAAAACAACCTGCTGGTAAAGAGACATCATTTACAACAATCCAGCACTAAATTGCTTTCCCCAGCATTAATCCATTCAGCTGATGTTTGTTATTCTGCTAAAGTGGTGCCACGTTCGACAGAGAAATTGTCATAAGGAGAGAAATATTAACAATAAAATCCCACATAATATTCTGGAATTAGACACGTGAGCTCATGGAGTGCCTGTTTTCCAGAGCATTGGCTGCCTCTAGCCATAGTTCATGTGGACAACTATCACCAAAACAGGGAAATAATTTCAGTTCAAGATTTCACGTGGTCTTGCAGTACAAAAAAAAAGTTTACGTCCCTTAATTATTACTACTTTAGTAAGGAAACTGAAGAAATAAATAATTTAAATAATAAATTTAAAGAATTAAATAAAAACTCTGAGGGGGAAACAAGTAAAAAAAAAATAAAAAAGGAGGCAAAGAACCATAAAAGCAAAATAAGCCACCCATATTGTAATTTAAAACTCAAAAACATGAATGTGATTTTAAACTATTCATGAAGAGATTTGCATAATCCCCAGTAGTGGGGAAGTGAGTGCAGCTTGGAGTTACAGAGGGAGCTTCCGGAGGCATTCCTAAGAGGAATTAAAAAAAAAAAGGAAACAGGGAAACATGCTTCTAGAAAAAAAAAAGTCTTATTTGAACATAATGGGTATTGCAGAGGAGTGTTTAAGCACTGAAGACATTTGTCACTTTTTAATTGCTAATTTGCAAAACAAAAACAAGAATAGTGATGGGTTTTGACTGACTCCTAATTGAAATTTCAAAAGGTGTTTTAATTTTTTTTTCTGGTTTTGAACTTCAAACCCAAACAGATTCAGACAGGAATCTTTAAATGTTCAAGCATCCCTACGAAAAAATATTAATCAAACAATTGGGGATTAAATTATAGAATCTATATTCCTTTCCAGCATCCACATCCATTTTCTCCAGCTATTCTCTTTATGGATCCATACTCCTATAGATCCTCTGAACAAGGTTTTTTGTCACCAAGGACCCTGTGTTTCCATAGGCAACCCTGTAATTTGCATATTCTTAATAAATAGTCAGCATAAACTGAAATATTCTTCTAAAATAATGAAAGCAAAGTGCTAGTCTGATAAGAGAGATAAGCACCCCATTCTTAGAGATAAAAAAAATTTGAAATATTCCAAGACAAACAGAGCAGAATGGAACTTCAGGTGTTAGCAGGGATGAGCAGCTTTATGGATTAACCACATTGACCAGGTCTCTGTTGGCTGCACACGAGCTTCAGCATCCAGGGATTTATTTATTTCCCTAAATGGAGACATTTGGGATCGTTTGAGATGCCTGAGGATATCCAGGAGATCTGTGTGCACAAGGCTGACATAAATGACACAGAATTCGGGAGAGACACGTGAAAGGGCAGGGAAAACACCCCTGGACATGGCAAATGGAACTCATGGAATCAGGAATGGTTTGGGTTGGAAGGGACCTTAAAAATCATCCAGTCCCACACCCTGACATGGTCAGGGACATCTCCCACTATCCCAAGTTGATTCAAGTCCCATCCAACCTGGCCTTGGACACTCCCAGGGATCCAGGAGCAGCCACAGCTTCTCTGGGCAACCACAGCCAGGGCCTGTCCACCCTCACAGGGAACAATTCCTTCCCAGTATCCCATCCATCCCTGCCCTCTGGCAGTGGGAAGCCATTCCCTGTGTCCTGTCCCTCCATCCCTTGTCCCAAGTCCCTCTCCAGCTCTCCTGGAGCCCCTTTAGGCCCTGGAAGGGGCTCTGAGCTCTCCCTGGATCCTTCTCATCTCCAGGTGAGCACCCCCAGCTCTCCCAGCCTCGAGAGCAGAGGAGCTCCAGCCCTTGGAGCATCTCTGTGGCCTCCTCTGGACCCTCTCCAGCAGCTCCACATCCTCCTGATACTGGGGATCCAATAGCTCCAGGTGGGTCACACCAGAGTGTCCCATTTGCATATTTTAAGGCAGGTGAAACCAGTCCCTACCCTAGACACAGACATTACGAAACCCTGAGAGTCTCTGAATCTGAAGTTGAATCAAATCTCCCTAAATACAGTTATTTGTGTCTGATTTTGTGTCTATTTCTCTTCCACATCCATAAAAAATGACCAACCTGACAAGCTCAGTAAGACTCTGTGCTGCAGAGATGAATCCCAGACAAAATTACTAATTCCAAAGTTGTCTATCCTCATAATAATGTTCACAGCTTGTAATATTGTTAATTCCTTTTTTTGTGTACTGTGTACAGAAGCCATCAAAGAGCACCAAAAAACCTACTGGAAAACTTATTTGAAAATTATTCAACATTCCAGACATTTTCTCCCAATCCCACAAGGAACTCCACGATCTCCAAAGGAAACCTTTCCTCACCTTTGTTCCGATCTC